ATAGAATCGCACTCGTGCTTCTCATGATTCTCATCGCATCCCTTATTGAGTTAGAATTACTATATATGGAAGGTCATACCAGGAACGGAGTTTGTATAACGTACAACGTAGTGTATAGTTTACAGGCAAGTTAATATGTCTGTACAATTCTCGGCATTTAATTGGTCCGCGTGACTCTACTTATCATGTACGTACGTATTATTTATGCGTTGACTGTTTTTCACGCTTACATAATGCAGGCTAACTGTCGATATAACAAATGATATTAATTTTAGTAGTTATATAATATTTATGAAATAAATAAGTTATGCTATAAAAATATTAAGTCGTAAATTGAGGTCAGCTAGATTTGAACTGGCACCTGTTGAGATAGAATTGCGTTCGTGCTTCTCGTGGGTCTATCACATTCCTTATTAGTTGGAATTACTATATATGGATAGTCATTGATAAATCATATAATGTAAAATATTAAGTCGTGAATTGAGGTCAGCTAGATTTGAACTAGCACCTGTTGAGATAGAATTGCATTCGTGTTTCTCATGATTCTATCATATCCCTTATTGAGTTAGAATTAATATATTTGGAAGGTCATTTATAAATCATACTTACATCTTTAATCTTGAATATTGCGACTATTTTTACAAAGCCGTTAGTTAACTCAAGTTCTATTCCAAAATAACTATGAATATTATCTTTATGTTAAGGTGTGTGTTGATCATTTGAGAAATTAAATATTTTGTTCTAACTGAATATATATGTATATCTCGTGCTGAATTTCGGTAAAGCTAGTATGCACTATGCAGAATTTGAGTAATTCAAAGAACTTAGCCAAGATGAATTTTGTTAATAGATCAAAATATATTCTACTGATTATTATGAACTTTGCCAATTACGTACATTCTGTTAAATATTCGAAAACGTGTAAACCTTTGAATTGCTTTTTATTTATGTTGATATTTAAATATTGTATACTTCCTTTTATAAACCTGATTTCTATCGTTATAGCTTACTTGATTTAGAGATGATAATTACGGGATGTAGCGATAAGAATAGCAAATTCGACAATTAATATATTATTCGATTAAAATGCTAATGCAATAATTAATAAACCCGATTTTTGTTTTGCTTTGTTATCAGATAATTCCGGGATGTAGCGGTAAAAAATAAAAAACTATTAAGTTCGACAATTGATATATTATTCAATTAAAATGGTAATGCAATAATTAATAAACTTACTAAATTGGAATGTTTTTTGTAATAAGAATCGTACGATTTTGTTGCACAGAAGAAATTTAAAATAATTAAACTCAAATGTGATTTATTATAAATTTACCTGAACAAAGAAAACACATACTGATAATATCGTATGATCCATTAAATTATGAAAATTTATAAGAATAAACAATATAGTCAATTGTTTCATATTATAAATTTTATTAAAGAATCGTGCGATTTTAATCTCATAAAAGCAGCTTAAAATTTAAAATAGCCCGTGTAAATATTGAACATTATAAAATTTTTTCTAAACAGATAATGTAGACAATTGTATTAATTGTATTCATATTAAACTTGTCTTTATAAATTGGTCTTGTCATAATTTTGATTAGAAGTCTTTGTTTAAGCTGTATAAAGCTATTATACTGTGTATTGTTCTTATTGCGTGATAAGATCTTTAATAAACAATTTACTTGCCAAAGCTTTAGGACAATCAAATGTTATAAATTTTTGTTTGCTAATAAACTATTATAAAAAAGAAAAGCCGTAATATAAAAAATTCAAGCACTATTTTTCTATATAAAGATGTAATTTTTGAGAGTGCGTTTTGATTTCTTCATCGTAATAAAATTACAATCGTATTCAAGACCTAAAATGGTTTCTCACGTTTCACTTCTTGTTGTCATGATTTCTGTAAAAAACAGCCGCTTGTGCTCAAACGGACTTGCTAAATACAAGCTTACAAAGGAATTGACACAAACAATTAAATTCAAATACTTCTTCCCTACTGATCAACCGTTGCAAACGTTTGCGAATGGAGATCTAGTTTTTATTTCTGGTAAATTTATTGTTGAGAACTCCGAACCGTGTTTTACTATCGCGTACTCAAGCATTGTTGATAACGGAAACCCTAACCGCGAATTTGACTTGAGTAATGTTCCCATAACTATTCCTCATAGTATGTACTTTGTGACTGCCACCCGTCAGCCAAAGAATGTCGGAGATTTTATTCATTTTGGCGCAGAGACAATTCAATATAATTCTGTCACTGGTAACTCTGATATTAAAATGGACATGACAATTATTTACTCACTTCATTCGTCCAGGTTTAAATATTTAGGCCATTTAGGTTCCAATATTAAATTACGATCAAATTATTTTGTATCGGGTCTTTTTAAATTTTCGAAGTCTGGCAAGATGATGATCGAGGCTACTGATATTGATTATCTAAGAACCTCGACCATCAATATTGGCGGATCTGAAAGTTCTCACTCCACAATGTCTAATGCACCATCAATAATCGATATTATTGATGATGATATTGATTCTACTGTCAAAAAGGCACCCCAAGATCAATATGGTTCGGTTAAGAAATCTGTAAATCCTGTTAATGCCGACGTTGAAGCTGCCCCGTCCTATAGTAGTAAAAAATATCATACTATTAATGCTGACATTGAAGCTGGTCCTTCCCATGATAGTAAAAAATATCATACTACTACTGAAGATTATCAGAGTGATGAGAAGCAATCTGATCATGAAAACGGTAATGAGGGTGATAATGAAAATGCTACTGATTTAGCTTGTGATGATGAATTTCAAGACATCGAAGAACAAGAGGAATCACAACCTAAAAAAAGAAAAAGAGCTCCTAAAAAAGCAACGAAAGGAAAAGGAAAAAAATATTAAATAAAGTTCATAATATTCATTTAGATAGATATCAAATACAGTAGTTCATTTATTATGTTGTATATTTTTCCCGAATTAATATTGTTGCTATATATGATAATGTCGTAATCACTTGATTGATTCGACTTATTTTTTATTATATTATCGATTTATTTATAATATATTTTCAAGATGTTTATTTTTATATTTTGAAAAATTTTTACATACAGATAACTGATCAAAAATAAATATTTTGTGTCTATAATAAACAATTCGTTAAGTCTATATTAAAATAACTGCGTTTATCTCTTATTAGTTAATTCTTAGTTGTGATAAGATTACAATCAGAAATAGAAAATTATAACACTTTCTAAACTATAATTTCTTAATACTTTTCATCCTTTCACATGCTCTAAGTTATTATGTATATATAACAACTGTTTAACTTTGAATTTTTACGTTTTACATGTGAAAATAAGGGCCAGTTGCACTCCTTGTTGTACCAATTCACTTGCCTCGATTTCTTAAAATGTTTTAAATGGTATTCATTCGATCATGTCATAATGTAAGTACTGTCAATCTCTCTTCTCAGTTATTTATTTTTGATTATTATCTCTAACTTACATGAATCGTAAATAAAGTCGAATAACTTATTCTAAGTTTAATAGTTAGTAAATATTCTTTATATAAATATAATAAAGTTAAGTAGTAAACATTAGAAAATTGGTTAGTTTGTTTTTAATAATACCACCCATTCTTCTCGGTAAATCCCAGCTGAATCGAAGATGCATTCAACTAAAGTTCAACTATACTAAATCAAGGTTAATCGATTTTGACCGAATTTAGTAAGACACCTACATAAATGCATGCGCTAAAATAATAATAGCGAGTTTAATTAAACATTGTTTATTTATGGATATTAATTATTTAATGCCTAAAAATGGTAAATGTCTCGACTATATTAAGTAAGAAAATAATAAAAGCCTATTACTGGTTAACGATGGTTCATTCGATCAAATAGAAATTTACTGAGCCATAAGTCTTCTTAAATCGCTACCTGTTATAAAGTATAAAAAGGTTGTGCTTTCTGATAAAAATAAAAAAAGAAAAGAAAAAGTATTTTCTAATCATAAATTAAACGTTAAATAAATATCTCATTCGTTGATACAAAACTCTCTCATATCAACAAACTTTGATTTCATTCTTTAACATATATATACTTAAATTGTTTTAAAATACACAAACACTATGATTAATATAGAAACTAAAGGTGAAACCAGGAAGAGAAAAAATCGTGAACAAATGGCTTTCCGGCATAAAAATACTCAATTGCGAAAGTCACGAAATAATAATCGAAATACCATACTAAAAAAAAAGAGAATTGAATCTCGACTTGCAGGAGATCGTCTCGCTAATAATTTAAGCATCCCTTTACGCATTATAGATATGGATGTGGAGTTTGAAAAAATTAATCAACAACATATTGCATGGCCTCAACCTACTAGAAAAGAAATAGCTAAAGAAGCGTTGGCTGAATTTCGAGATATGGTTGATTTTAATGAATTGCGTGAATTACAGGTCTTCCTCGTTTTTTTTTTATTTTTTTTTTTATTTACGATACTTATGTTTATTCAATGACTTGCTGAATTAATTCAAAACCTCGTACAGAACAAACACGTATTAATCCCAATTTGACTTATCACACTACTATACTTTACCGTCAAATATCAACTAACTTTAAAATTAGCTTTAGCCACGAATCGTGTGCTTTCTCCCGTTTTATAAGATTTCACTTATCTATCTTTATCCATATTAATTACCTTAATTTGATCATTTAAAGACATCTATTAAAAAGCATTCACATAAGAATTAGACTTCTATTATTATTCGAGCCCTTTAAAAAAATTTCAATCCACAATTTATTTATACTTACAAAGAAAAAAACAGAGTTCACTAAAATCTTCGTATTATTATTATAATAATATACAAAATTTTCAATAATATTAGATTATCTTTGATATTACCTTGACATTTTAATTTCACAATAAAGAAAGATCTAACTTATCTGTTAAAAATTTTTCGTCGCTTAAATAACTTCTCGATTACTCATTCTTACATTTAAATAAATATTTTTCTTAGTTCTTTATATAGTTTTACCATTAATCTTATTATTATTAAAAATAAATTACATTCACCTATAATTGCCAAGGTAATTACTAAATTACGGCAAAAT